GTGCGTTCAACCAACAAAATACAAACTTGAAGAAAACAGAATCATATACAGTACATCAGGTTTCATAGAGCCAAACATTTCAAGTGCTACTCAACTGGCTTTAGATAAGCCAGTCCTTTATTAGTATACAAGTGCTTTGTTAATAATTCTATCGCTCGAAGTGGAGTCGAAAGAGATGAGTTTTCAGTCTGCGCCGGAAGATGTGTAAGCTTTCTGCTGTCCTGATGTCAATGGGGAGCTCATTCCACCATTTTGGAGCCAGGATAGCAAACCCACGTGTTTTTGCTGATGGGAACTTGGGTGCCCCTCGCAGTGCGGGTGCAGCGAGCTGTTTGGCTGATGCAGAGCGGAGTGCACGTGCTGGGGTGTACGGTTTAACCATGTCCTGGATGTAGGAAGGGCCAGATCCATTCGCAGCATGAGGCTCATGGTACGCAAGTACCAGTGTCTTGAAGTGGATTCTAGCAGTTACCGGAAGCCAGTGAAGGGAGCGGAGGAGCGGCGTGGTGTGGGAGAATTTAGGAAGGTTGAAGACCAGACGAGCCGCTGCATTCTGGATGAGCTGCAGAGGTCGGATGGCACATGCAGGCGGACCAGCCAGGAGGGAGTTGCAGTAGTCTGGGCGTGAGATAACGAGAGCCTGGACCAGAACCTGCGTCGCTTTCTGGGTCAGGTGGGGACGTATCCTCCTGATGTTGTAAAGCGTGTATCTGCAGCAGCGGGTTGTAGCAGCGATGTTTGCAGTGAAGGACAGTTTGTTATCTAGGGTCACACCCAGATTCCTTGATCACCAGCATGGACTAGCATGTGATCCAGCATGATCCACCAGCATGGACCACCAGAAGCCACCAGCATGATCCCAGCATGATCCACTAGCATGGACCCATCATGCTGCGTGACCAAAAAACATAACAACATAATGCTATGGTCCATTGCTGGTGACCAAAATACAACATAATTGCTGGCCATGCTGGTCAAACACCATTTGCTGGTAAAAAACGCTGGGCAAAAATCCTTGATTAGCGTCTTAAATTCCTCGATTTATTGCTGCTAAATCCTTGATTATGCGATTAACATGCAGGGGTTTTTATTGTGATTTTATTGCGGGGAAATTGCGGGAAGTTGCGAAATAATGCAGAAAAGTTACGAAAATATGCTTAAATATGCGGGGAAAAGAATAAACAATTTTTTTAAATATGGGCTGTCTTATTATTCTCTCACACACAACCTGCCACTACTTAACGTTAAACCCCTTACTATTCAATTAAAACAAATTCAATGTTTATTTATTGTAAAAAGCAATTGGTATTTAATCCACCACAACCACACTTCTGCGCCCTCATTCTGTTTTCATTTACTCGTTCGTTAATTCTGACCAGCTTCAATCTTGGTAAGGCTACTCACTTCGTTTCTGTAAAGCCCTCGAAAGGGTTTTTGGAGGTTGATGCCTCGGCCTGAACGAGCGTCTGTTTGGCTTTTCTTGTCCGCTTTCTTTGTTCATGTCTTGAATGACATCAAAGTGCGGTCGTCACCGTCGATTTTCTCTTCATGCTCCAAACACACAGTGCACGGGGTGGGCAGAATAGTTTCCCCCCCACTTTTTTGCGCCGGGTCTTTAGCGTAGAAATGTTCGTCGGCGTAATAGGATGGATTAGATTTTTATCTTGGTGTTTTCTCTATCGTGTGAGCTCCACACGTTCACTCTATACAGTGTTGTTTACATTCTGCATGATTGCCGCGAGCTGGCATTACGTCACGTCAAGACGAGTTAAACTTTTTTCCCTTCAACTTTGTGTGAAAAATGCGTTATGGCGGCATTTTGATAAATATGCGGCCCTTTTAAAAAATCTGCCCCGGCCAATTTTGCTGATTATGCGGTAAATTCTGCGATCGCCCAGAATCGCCGTTTTTCTGTGAATCCATGCTGTCTTTTCTATTTTAAGGGGTTTTAAGTGTGTACACAAGAGCCCAAATTTTGGAGAGTGCCTAAGTATAATCAGCAAACCACCTCTAGAGTATAACCTAGAAAAGGCGTAGCTTGTGAACCCAAAGGCGGAAAAATATTCTGAAGGCTGGATAGTTTGCTGAAGCAAGCTGTATTGATAAGTCTCCCATATGCCGCGCGCACACAGATTTATTCTCTCGAAGGCGTCTTGGAAGCGAGCCGCGGAGTGCCTGATTCTGTACGGTACTCCTTATGTACCTTACCATGTGTGAACACGAGTTCTCTCTCTCTCTCTCGCCAGTATCAGCCACTCCTATCAGTCTTGTCCATCTCGTGTGTAGCGCCAAGCGTGACGACGTGGGCGTGTTGTCGTTTAATATTGCGTCTGTCTTATTCGCGCACGGATGGAGGAGCGATTCGCAACGCGTCCCTTGCCCCTGCCCCAGAGAGAATGGACTGGAACTTCGCTCCATCCATGTTTCTTGTCAGTGGCGGGAACTTCAGCCAAAAGCCTGTTGTACATGAGCGGATGTTGTTATTTCTGAAGCATTATAAGTAACACACAAGGTCTCTGTGTTACGTGATCGGATACCTTGTTATATCACAAGTTATCTTAGAAGCCATGAGTGATCAGCTCATTCTCTATGAGAGAAAGAGCCAAGAATCGACATCATAACACTCTACTGTTGGGTAACGGGATAGAACGAGTGGAGCTCTCTCAGTGCCTGCCCTCATAATATATATCTGAAGGTCAAAGATGTAGAACAAGAGCTAGGTCAGGAGATGTGTCTAGCGCGCGCGCGCGGGACGCAAATTTACGTTTTTTCTCTATAGTTTCGGCGGAGCTGCATATCTAGTATATTGTGTAATAAGACAGCTGTGAACCTAGTGTGCTCTCTCTCTCTCAACAAACGCAGCGTCTGAGCGCTCTTGGTCGCGTCTGCGACTTTGAACGCAATCGAGAATCAAGCGCAGTCCATATGAGTCTATGGTCAGAGAGCAGTCGCCCACCAACTGAGAACGCGGCATTGAAGAGTAAAGCGCGTTGCCGCTTTGCCGGGTATACTTCTGGCCGTCTGCTGTTATCTCTAGCGGAGAGTAAATAAGATATATAAATGCCATATCTTGCGCGCTTTTTGATGAAAGTCCTTTCTTCTGTTGGAATATTGAGTACATACATATTTCAAATTGCTCTCCATAATTACGCGCAAGCTCTTTTTTGTGTATCGCGCGCGCGCAATAGTTATATGCGCCCAGTTGAATAAATACCTGCGCTCTATTCTTGCGGCGTCTCTTGACCTCGTTGAGTCTCTAGTTGGTATCTCGATATGACGCAATCCTTGCTTTTTACAACACAAAAAAAAAAATCCTAATGGAGTGAATGTATTATTCATTCCACAGAAAGGAGGCTTTCATTCAAAGCCCAAGAAGACTCTTAATCTATTTATGACAGCAAAGAGCCCAGCAAAACACTCCTCTGCCCGCTTTCAGTGGTTGTTGAAGGAAAACTTAAAATGACCTTGGCAGTATGATGCATCATTGTTCGCTCTCTCAGAACCTGATTAAAGGATTCGTTTTTTCCAGCTGGTCATTTAAAATAATTGTTGGACTTGGCAAACTTGGGAAAGAAAAATTCGTCCAGGGCCCCCCCCCCTCCCATTTGACCCTGTTGTTAAGAGCTTACCTGGACCTCCCCAACTCCCCCCCCCCACCTTTTTCCCACTTCGTAATTTGTGCTGTCTTCCAAGGAAAGCTGATTTTTCCCATTGGCTAGTAAGTAAACAAGATTTGACTTCCAAAGGTTCTTTATTTAATGCTTCAGAAATAACAACATCCCCTTCACAGGGCTTTGCTGAAGTTCCCGCCAACTGAACAAGAACCATTTTGGGATTGGAGGCCCAAGTTCCAGCTTCCCATCCCTCCCTTCTGGGGGCAGGGGGGCAGGGGAACCCCCCATCGCTTGCCAAAATTGATAAAACCACCAGCCCATGCCAGGGACTGGAAAATGAGATATAGGGTTGGTCTGCAGAACTGTCCACAGTTCTGGGGCCGTCCTCCTGAGTCCTGTCCCTCGGTAGGACGTTTGTTGAAATTTCTTGCGAGGACTTTCAGTCCCCAAGGGCAAAAAACATGCCACCCAGAA